CCTTCATCCCAACACTGATGGGAAGCCATGAAATGATTTTAAACAGGGAACAATAGAATTATATTTAAGATTTGAAAAGATCACTCTTGTGGTAGCTTGGAAAATGGATTAGAAAGGCAAGAGGAAGGGAAGCCAACTAGGAGGTTACTACAAAGTCCAGGTGAGAGACGAGGGTAGTTCAGGCTATGGATGTGATGATGGAGACCAACATAAATAAATGGATGAATTTGAGAAGAAGCAGAGATAGGACCCTGTGGTATTTTGGAAATGGAAAGAGAGAAAGAGGAGGAAGAAAAATACTTCCTTTGTTTCTGGCTTGTGGCTGAATATTGGCAGTGCCTTTTACTGGGAGTAGTGGCAGTGACTGAGGACCGAGCTTGGGAGAGAAGACCTAATACTCCCTGGGAAAGGATGCATTTGCAATCTTCTTGAAGTTTACCAGTAGGGATGTCAAACAGACAGTTGAATATCAGTGTAAAGTATAGAGGTGAGGTCCTGGCTGGAGATAAACGTGGAGGTCACCGGTGCATGGCTGATTGGTGGCACTGTGGGGATGAGCACTGTCGGCTGGGGAGAAAGCACAAGGCATGGAAGGAAGAAGCCAGCATTATACTTTGAGGATTTCTCACAAAAAAATGGCAGATACGAGAGAGTGAACTGGAAAAGTGGACTGAAAAAGAGTGGTCAAAGCATATGGTGTGATGCCACATGAGTCAAGGAGGGAGGGAGCTGACAATAGTATCAAATGCTGCTGAGATAACACAATTTTTTAAAATGTCATTTGGATTTAATGGATGAGGGGAAGCTCTCTGGAGTTTTTTCCCTATGTCCTGTTCCTCTATCACATTAGATAAGTATCAAGTTAGAAAGCAGCAAACTACATTAATTTAACTTTGAGTACAAATAGTTTTGTCAAAATACTATTCAGTATTATATTCTCACCCCGTATTGAGAGAAAATGTAAGAAACTGTTTTAAAAAGAATGTTTTTGCATCTTTTGGAAACCATTCTTGAAAACATTGAAGACATAATTCATTACATTACTGAATAATTTATATATAGTAATTTTCTTGAAAATACTCTCTCAGAATCTAGTACTAGTAAAAAGTTCCTTTCTCTTAAGGAACTAGTAACTTTCCCTTTACTGGACAATGAAACAGTATAAGCTAATTATATTCACCTAATATATATTAACTCTATATTTAACAATATAACCTAAATATAATCAGGAAATTCAAAGCTTCAGTTGATATGAAAGGGCTCTAACTAATTATGTAGCATATGGGTTTAGTTTGTAAAGTGGCTCATCAGAAAGAGTCCTTATTATGAACATTTATTAAGTTCCTAGTTCTGTTCAAAACACTCTGTATATATTGCCTCATTTAGTTATTACATCCCTGTAGGATAGATATCAACATTTCAGTTTTACTGATAGAGAACGGAGACATTAAGAATTTAAGTAACTTGCCTCAAGTCCCATAGCAAATGAATTTTAATTCAGTTATGTTTGATTCCAAAGCTCTGGCCCTCTCTACTATAGCATGTGATCTCTGTGTTTTAACTATGTTTTATCTTTTTTTTTTTTTTTTTTGGAAGGAGCCCTATACCCAGATGGAACATCTGGAAGGAACAAAAATGATGACATGGTTCCTCCTGGGAAAAACTACACCTACGTCTGGCCGGTGAGAGAAGAATATGCACCTGCTCCAGCCGATGCCAACTGCCTGACCTGGGTGTACCATTCGCACATCGACGCCCCTAAGGACATCTGCTCTGGGCTAATTGGTCCCCTGCTGGTCTGCAAGGAAGGTAAAGAACTTTGTTTCCAGGTAACTAGGGAGTTGAAGTGTGAATAAGATTCAGGTCTTATTTTGCCTACCTCCTTTGCTCCACACAGAATGTGCCTCTTCTTCCAAATTTCTTTAGAAATTCTAACATGGAAGATTAATCTGACACCATAGCAGAGGGCAGTAATTCAGATTTTTTGTCCAAGAATCATCACAGCATTCTTAGACTTTATAGTTACTTTTTAAAATGATATTTCATAACACAATGCATAGAAAAGTGAGAAATTTAGTCAAATGACCAGGGATGCCTTTTGCTTCATTATTTCACCTAAATAATCATTTGCTATTTTATACCTTATTATTTGACTTAGCATGTCCATACTTTGTCAATAAAATGAACTCCCTTTAGAGATAGCCAGGCTTCCAAGTATGCGATTATGAAGATTTCTGTTTTATGACTTTTCTATGGCTCTGTCATTTCCATTAAAGTCTTTTGCTGATTTTATATTGTGGGTTATCCTTGTAGGTATAGGTCTTCACCAAACTTCACACTTACCTGACACTATTGGAAGGAAGCAAAGCTCATCTTGATTTAGTTCTTTCTCTCTACTCTTTTGAATGTGCCTGATAGGTATCCTGAATAGATATTCAGGGACACGGAATGATGTGGATCGAGAGTTTGTTATAATGTTTACTCTTGTGGATGAGAATCAAAGCTGGTACCTCGATGAAAATATCAAACATTTCTGCACGGACCCTGATTCAGTTAACAAGAAAGATGCTGTTTTCCAGAGGAGTAACAAAATGCATGGTGAGTACTTCCCATGTTCCCAAACATACCAGGCCTTTCATACTATAAGGTACCACAAGGGATACAAAATACACAGAAATGTTGATCTGAGTTTGGCAAGATTTATAACTCAGTGATGACCATGGTTAGAAAGTGATACAATACATGACACATGTTTGAACCTGAAACAATCTGAGGGGGACAAAGCAGTGGATACATGCTAAATTGGGCATGCAGTGTGGACAAAGCCATAGAGCTTTGGAAAAATGGAGGGATCAATGTTATATTGTAACTGGAAAAGAATCGGTGCCTGAGATGAGCCCAGAGCATGGGTGGGCTTTGACTGACTGGAAGGAAAAAGGAGAATGAAATCATCATCCTATAATAATCCTCTGTTTTTCAACACTTTGCTTTATCCAGTAACCATTTTCTGAGCCGCTGCTAAATTTTAAGAACTGAGTTATACATGGGGTTTAAATAAGCACTTATGAATTCATTACATTTCCCAGGCATTCTTTACATCAACAAAATTTATTGAGCATATACTATACATCAGACTCTGTATTTGTTCAAAATAGTGAACTTCTATAGTTACTTCATTAGTTGACACAGGGCACTTACTCATGCCTGTTTTGCAAAGCAGTAGCTTAATGTAGCATTTTAAGATTTTCTTAGAGAGTTCTAGTAAACATAAAGGAAATAGTCAACCTACATATCCCACCTTATTTACTGACATATCTTCTCCTTCTATTGCTTGTCTCTCTCTCAGAATTGTTCTAACCAAGTTATCCTCAATATAGTCATAAAATCATAAGAGAAATAGAAGGAGCTGACGATCATCTGACATCTCCATTTTACAGAAGAGAAACTGAGGTCAAGAGACTATCAATGACTTGTTTAAGGTCAAAGTGATAATTAGTGCCTGACAGTTTCCTGAGAGAAGTCCCATAGCAAATAAATATAAATTTGGCCATGTTTTATTCCAAAGCACATCAAGGCATGATTGTCAGTATGTTGACTATTTCCATTGTATTGCACGCCTTCTCTTTTACTTCTAGTGGTATTTTGGCAACCTTGTGTGTAATGATTCTTGGAAAATATTTTAGGAGGAAAGGAAGTAAGGGAGAGAAAGAAAGGGGAAGGCAGGGAGGCAGAGAAAACAATGAAGGATGGAGTCAATGAAGATGTAAATTCAAATCATTGCTGTGACCAGTTGTAATTCATAACCTTTACAAAATGGGAGTGATGATCTCAAATATTACAGAAAACTACTAATTGTGATTATTTAAGACTCACCTGCCCAAATAATTCCTGTTACTCTGTATTTATTCTTTTGAAGTGAAAATGTCCAACAAAATGAAATGAATTACATAAGCAAACACAGATTACAAGTATCATAAAAAGAAGCCTGTCCAGGCACAATGGCTCATGCCTATAATCCCAGCACTTTGAGAAGCACGTATGGGAGGATTGCTTGAGGCCAGAAGTTCAAAGCCAGCCTGGACAACATAGGGAGATCCGTTCTCTACAAAAAATTCATAGTGTCACATGCCTGTGGTCCCAGCTACTTGTGATGCTGAGGTCAGAGGATTGCATTAGCCCGGGAGTTTGAGGCTGCAGTGAACTAAGTGCCACTGCACCCCAGCCTGGGTGACAGAGCAAGATCCTGTCTCAAAAAACAAAAACAAAAAACCCTAGTCTGTATGCTGAAGTAGATGTGTGTTTGCAAACAATCCTTCAAGACTGGAAAAGGGCCAGGTATGGTGGCTCACGCCTGTAATCCCAGCACTTTGGAAGGCCGAGGTGGATGGATCACTTGAGGCCAGGAGTTCAAGACCAGCCTGGCCAACATGGCAAAACTTCTCTCTACTAAAAATACAAAAATTAGCTGGGCGTGGTGGTGGACACCTGTAATCTCAGCTACTGGGGAGGCAGAGGCAGGAGAATCTTTTGAACCCAGGAGGCAGAGGTTGTAGTGAGCCGAGGTTGTGCCACTGTACCTCAGCCTGGGTGTGACACAGCGAGACTCCATCTCAAAAGAAAAAAAAAGAGAGAGAGAGACTGGAAAAGGAGACCTAATCAAGTAAAGAAAAAAATTTTATTACAAAAAATCTAGCCTATGGAAGATAATTAATATGTACAAGATTTATTGATCAATTTATTTAAATTTACTAAAATAATTTAGAATTAATTTCAGCAACAATTGCCTTTTATCTCAGTTTGAACTTAAGAAGGGATGTTGTGACTTTTTAAAGCCCTGAATCCAGTTCTTTTCTGAACTTGGTCAAGTCCCAGCTGCCATTTAGATGGTTTTAAAGTTTTTGGTCCTGGACTTACGCCATAAACTTAATAAGATTCTGCCCCAGCAACATGTATTAAAAACTGTTTTTCTCTTGGCTTTTTAAAGTAAACAAACAAAACAGTTCTCATAAATCCCTTTTAATCAGTTCCTTTTCTTTCCATCTCACTATATGCTTTTGACACTTCAGTAAGTAGATACTATGTGCCAGTTTTTCTGCTAGGTCCTGATAACTGTTAAGATGAACAAAACAGGGTTTCTAGTTCCAAGGAGCACAAAATCTGGTGGAGACAGCAGATATGCCAGTGAAGGATTAGGACAGAAGGTGACTGAGCCTCCTGTAAATATGAGCAGCACTCTGTTTTCTCCTGACCTCATTATTGCGTTCTCACAGCAGCTCCGAGGCTGTTTTCAGTGTGTGCTGATCTTCGCTTTCATTGAGTGTTTTTTCTGGAAAAAGGCCAATAAAAACATTTCATTTCTCTTTTGTACAATATATATTTCTAAGAGCCAGGTTTTTCTGCACCAAAACCTTACAACCAATGGTCTGCACTGGTTTTCCAGCCATACTCAAGTACGTATTACCAACATTTCTGGTCCTGGTCGCCTCTGCAGGGGAGTCTTTTCCACTAGTGTGTTTCTATTTCCAGCCCTCAATGGATACCTCTTCGGAAACTTCCCTGAGCCTGATATGTGTGTTGGTGAATCTGTGTCCTGGCACCTATTTGGAATGGGGAATGAGATAGACATCCATTCCATCTATTTCTATGGTAACACCTTCATCAGCAGAGGGCATCGGACTGATGTCGTCAACCTGTTCCCAGCCACCTTCCTTACAACAGAAATGATAGCCGAGAATCCTGGGAAGTGGATGATAACCTGCCAGGTCAGCGACCACCTACAAGGTAAAAAGGACAAAGACCAGTCGATATGTTTAGAATGGTACAATAAAACCACACAGTCACCAGTGCTCATCCAATGCCTACTGTTAGATAGAGTCTTGTATGTAGTATATTTAATTAGGTAATAAATATACAGGAAAATATAATGCTCATCTCTTTGATATTCTATCAACAGATATTTATTGACCACTTCTGTATGAAAAAGGTGGAGAAGTGATTAAAAATTGATGAGACCTTCAAGGAACCTATAATCTAGTAGTTAGACATTCACAAAATGAATAAAATTTAAGGCAGAATGAGACAAATGCTCTTTGGGGGTTGTAGTCACTACTCTGGAGCAATCACAGGGGCTTCCTGAGGAGCTGGCTCCTAATATGAGCCTTGAAATATGAGTAGGAACTGAATAGATAAAGAAGGAAAGACTTTCCAGATAGAGGAAGCAAAATGAACTGGGAAAAACACATGTTCTCTTTGAGCAACTGTAAGTAGAGTAATAAAGTTTTAGCACTGGAAAGGACTTTCTGGATAATAAGGACCAATCGCCCCTTCAATTATTTAATTTCCTTTTGAACATCTCTTGTGAGTAGTTATAGCAGCTCACCTCATCTCTGGACTGCTCTATTGGAATGTTCTTCCTCAAATTGAGACAAAATCCATTGACCTGTAGCTTCCTTCGTGGCCTATCACAGGTGCATGATAAACATTTGTTGGCTTAAGTGCCTATTGAATGACCTGGTCCTGGTTTCTTGGCACACCATACACTATGTCCTTTCTGAGCTGGACCATAATGTTCCTTACAGAGAAGTGATGACAGAAGAGCCTGGGGAGGCTCATCAGGCCCCTCAGCAAAGCTAAAGAGGTGGGGCTGTGTGATCCTTAGCTCTTTAGGCACACCAGTGACATAATCAGTGCAGTTATTTAGGAAGATAAATGTATGCATGCAAGAAGGACTTGATAGAGGAATTCTGGTTACTGGATGCTAGTTAAGAAGCATTTGACAGCATTAGAATTCTAACATCAAAAGGGTCTGCCCTCAGATGGTGAAATCAAGATGAAAAAAAATATGTTAATGGAATAGACATAGAAGAAACAATGTCTGATTAAATTTGGATACTAACTTCACCTAGTCACTAATAGGTGCAAAGATCCAGCTGCTCAGGGCTGCTTTGATAACACATTCTTGTTCCTGTCCACCTTCCGCAGTGAATCATAGCATTAGTCAACTGCAGTATCCCAATTACATTCAACTGAAAAATTAATCAGTTAATAGGTACTAGATGCTCTTCTGGAAAAACAAAGATTAACAAGACAAGGTTTGTATTCTCAAAGAGTCTCATGCTGTTAAATCTGGGGAGAAACTGTAGATTTAAAATCAAGGTATTAGCAGCCATTTGAGACTAGTAAGATTGCTAAATTAGCCCAATAGTTGTGGACATAAGCTGGTATTTATACTTTCACTGAAATACAATATTTCTAAATTGTCCGTGCATTCAGAAAAAAAGTTATTCTAAAAAATTAGAAAATATATATAATTGGAGGCTTTTTAACAAATAGAGACAGAGTCTTGCTATGTTGCCCAGGCTGGTCTCAAACTCCTGGGCCCAAGCAATCCTCCTACCTTAGCCTTTCAAAGTGCTGGGATTATAGGCATGAGCCACTGGATCTGGCCCCTATACATTGATTTTAAAATCAGTAGTCCCATAATAGATATATTTTACATTCACATTTTGGTGAATATCTTCCCTATTTTCTATTTCTTAATATGCAAATATGTATGTATTTTATAAAATGAAATCAGTCTATTGATGCCTCACTGTAGCTAACTTTTCTCGTTTACAAATATATCAGAAACACATTTTCATGTCGATGAATATAGAGCTTGGGTCATCATTGTTAATACTTTCAGTGTCCATTATAAGGAGATTACAACTTACTTAATCAACACTCCATTGCTTAACGCTTATGTTTCCCACCAATTTTTTTCTATTATAAACAGTACTGATGACTATTATTTATAGATGTTTGCACTTTCGTCTGAACATTTCCTTAGAAAAACTCCTAGATTTAGAATTCCTGGGTCAAAGAGTTTGATTTTTTTTAAAAAAAGCTATGGACATACATTGCCCCATTCTCTTTTGGAAATTGTTATTCTTCTACCTGAAGTGTACGAGTATGGCTCTTTCCCCAGTCATCTACCAACCTGAGAATTTTTAGTCTTTCTAATCTTTACTAATCTAATCAATGAACATAGTATCATTTGAATACTGTTAAGGTGTGAGTACTATTTGAGTACTATTAAGGTTGAACTTTTTTTTTTTCCTTTGTTTATTGGCCAATGTTACTCCTTTTGTGAATAAACATTTCTGTTCCTTGCTCATTTTCTACTGGAGATTTACTTGTTTTCATCTTTATTTGTAAAAGTGATTTACATATTAATATTTTGTCATATGTGTCACAAATATCCCTCCTGTTGCCATTTATCCTTTTTAAAAAAGCTTTCTTTATGGTCTAATTTTCTGTACAAAAGTCTAAATGTTCAATAGTCAAATCTATCAGTGTTTTCCTCTGATTCCTTTTGTGAGCCTTTATGCCTCAGCTCGTGGTTTTCCTCCGTTCTGCAGCTGGTATGCTGGGGCAATACAATGTTGCTAACTGCAAAAGTGATATTTTCTACCCGGAGATGAAGGGTCAACAGAGGCGCTACTTTATAGCAGCTGAAAAAATTCTTTGGGATTATGCTCCTCAAGGCTATAACAAATTCAGTGGTCTTCCTCTAAATGCCTCTGGCAGGTAAGCACTCTTTGCTGGTGTTTCTAAGCCTCTGGTCAGAGAAGCATGTGCTGGGCTTTCTTTGTGATCTCATTTGTATTCCAATCGCTGCTCTGATGAGCTCATACTGCATGGATGGCATAGTGCTGCAAAAGCACTGCTGAGAACTGGTAGAATATTTCTTGTTTTGTGACTTACTGGCTAAATCAAAACACTAGATCATTCATTCATTGATCAGAATTTCTTGAGTAGGTACTATGTGCAAACTCCAGTGCAAAGTGCTGTTAGAAATCCTTTGACTCCTGATTTGAATGAATCATGTTCTCTCTGCGCTCCCATAGAATATACTATTTAAAAAATTGAGTCTAGCAATTTATTAGATGGATCTGGACTCCTGTGACTTGTTACTATATAACCATATGCAAAAATGTCTGTGAAGATATTAGAAAATGTACAGTATGATATTAAGAATCCTTTTTTATATTTAAGGGAATGTTTTAAAAATTCTCTTTGTGATCAATAAAACATCATTTGCTTCCTTAATTGTACATTTTATTCATTCATTCATTTATTCATCCTTACATTCACTAATTATTCCACCAAACTGATGCACTTGAACCCTGCCTAAAGAATTTGTGTGAACCATATGTGAAAGACTCTGATATCAACATTCTCTATTGACTAGTATTTCTCCATAAACAGAATAATGAGAATTAGCATTCAAAATTGTCTTAGGGGCCTCATAGAATTCTGAAGTGCCTTCTGAAATATGAAAGATTAAACTATATTCAATCAATATTTAATGTGATATATGAAAGCACAACGTGCAAGAAGACATGAGGGATACAAGGATATCTAAAGCAATAAAAAGCAGAGGGAGAAGTTGGGTTCACAGGAGTAGAGAAGTAACTGCAAGTTACAAAGAAGAATGAGGTGAGTTGTCCTGGTAGTGAGTTATCTGGGTGTTCAGAGAGAGCTAAGCTAGTCATAGAGGAAGTGAGACTTAAGCAAGATCTTGAGGAGTGATAGACTTTATCTAACTGAATAGGGAAGAAGGGAATTTTAGATGCAGGGGTTGATGCAAAACACCTATGGCATGGGGGGAATGAACAGATGAGACTGCAGTAACAATTTGCATAGAAGAATGGGCATTTGCATAGAGAAATAGAGAATTGGGGTAAACGGGATACCAATTGCAGAGGTCCTTTAATCTTTTTGAACATTATTTGATTGGCAATTGGAAGCAATTGAAGATTTTGGAGCAGGTAAATGACAATTAAAATTACCATTTTAGAGACTAATATTGTATTAAGTGAAAAAGTAAGTGCCGTCTTGGCCATTAAAAGTAATTTTTAATCATGGTCTTGGCCATTATGACCACTTGGCTTACTTTTGCACTAATTTAATAGTTGTGTGTGTATATGCTGAGAAGAAAAGTAAATGAGCCAGTATCAGACAGAGGATACAGTTCAGAGGTTCATATAATGGGCCACACCCAGTGTGATTAGGGCATGAACTGGGGTCATGGTAGTGGGAAGAAAGGAAAAGAAAAGATGCACAAGGAGAGTAGAAAAGGAAGAGTGCCAGAAAATTTTACAAAGTAAGGATGAATGAGTTAAGGGAATGAAGGAGAAAAAGAAAATCTACATGGCTGCAGGAGTGATGGTACCATTAACAGAAATAAGGTAGTATAAAGACAGTATTAGTCAGAATTTATATTATCATATTCATGACTTGGAAATGTGGCATTTCATGTATATGGTTTATATGGTAGCTCTCCATTAATTACACTATTTGATTGACTAGACACTCCATTTCTTAATAATGCCAGATGTCAAAGAGCTTACTAGATGCAGATACTATTCATATTAACATCAGTAAGAGAGAGAGGGATGCTTATTCTGCAGAGAAACCGGTTAGTTCTTTATTACTCTGTAGAACACCGTTCTCGGACTCTAATATTGGTAAACAAGGAGTTTACTTGTGCCTGCTCCAGTTGCTGGACCTCTGGGGAAGAAAGTACAATGGCTAAGAGAGAAATGAGCTTGAGTATCATCCAGCCTCTGAAGACTTTTAGGGCTGGTTGACTATTCCTGGGAACTCTGTTGAAGCCTTTGCTGTCTTTTCTGGGGAGAAGGGTGGGTGAGTGGACTAAAAGTGATGGAATGAAGCTCCATAATTAAAGCATTTGGTGGATATGTTGAGAAGTGTCCTCAATCGGGTTCCT